AAGTCCAGTATCAACTCTATGGAGGGCAATAAAGTGAGACTCTGTCTCTACAAAAATAAATAAATAAATAAATAAATAAAAATATTTCATTTGGCAACTATTTATTTTTAAAGACTTATCCATTTCGTGGCATACCCCACGTTTTGTACTTATTTTTGCTTAGTATTTACAAGACTATTATAGGTTATTATATTTCCCTACAGCATTAAAAATAATTCAAATATATATGCAATTGTAATGCATGTATATCTTGGAGTGGATTAGCATGCCAGAAATGGTACTCCCCTTATTTTCATTTTTCTTATTATTCATTTTTCTTTTTTTATTAACCAAGGACATAAAAGTAACATAGTTTCCTCAATTTCTAAATAACCATACTTATTCTATGTTTCTCTTATTAAAGGGAAAACAAACCATACTAATTCCTCCTTTGTCTCTTTTAAACCTTTCTTTTAACAAATATATTACTGTTACAGAATATCAAGCAATTCTATCTGATGAGAATGAGTGCTTTATTTTATCAAGTCACATGGTATTTCAGAACAATGTGAGACCATAAAACAGCATTTACCATTTCTTCTTTGCTGTTGATTTGTAGAAGTGTGGATCCCTTCTCTGAACACTTCTTTTCACTAGTGTTCCAAAACTGCCAACTTTCAAATACATGGTAACAACTTTCTCCATTCTGAATCCAGTTGACTGCACAAGGGCTGCAGTTACAAGCTTTGAATATAAGCATGTTTCTTTGTTATTATTGTAAAATATCAGTAGCGTGTGGCATATCTTCCCCCTAATAACCCCTTATGTCACCCTTAGCAAAGCTCAATGCTAGAAAAGATTGCTTCATATGATGTAGCACTTATCAATTTCAGCTTCTTTGAAATGGACTAGACTAAGATTTATATAGTAATTTCTACCTGCAGTAAGTATTTAGTTTAAGATAAAATTAATTGGGGATAAAATTACACAATTTTTTCTCTTCTATAAAAATGGATCTGGGCTCAGCACCTGTGGTTCAAGTGGCTAAGGCGCCAGCCACATACACCTAAGGTGGCGGGTTTGAATCCATCCTGGGCCCGCCAAACAACAATGATGGCTGCAACACAAAAATAGCTGGGTGTTGTGCCAGGCGCCTGGGGTCCCAGCTACTTGGGAGGCTGAGGCAGGAGACTCTCTTGAGCCCAGGAGTTGGAGGTTGCTGTGAGCTGTGATGCCATGGCACTCTACCCAGGGGGGCAACTTGAGGCTCTGTCTCAAAATAAATAACTAAATAAAAATTAAAAAAATAAAAATGGATCTGATTATTCCAATCTTATCAATCTTTCATTTCTTTGAATTCATATTTATAGTCTTAGTTTGTTTGCATATTGTTTCATGTCTGTTAATCTTACTGCCCCAATTTAGCTGGAAATGTCTTAGGCCTGTTGTCTGCAACCTTTTTGACACCAGAGAGACCAATTACGTGGAAGATAATTTTTCCACGGACAGAGCCTGGGCAGTGTCAGGGGCACGGTGCTCTGAGGCCTGCTCCTAACCAGCTGCAGACAGAGTGGTCAGCAGCCAAGGGGTTGGTGATCACAGTCCCTCTCTAACCTTTATATAAAAGGTAACAATGTGTTTATATGGTTTTGTTCAGTGGGTTGAGTAATAAGCCTTGATTTAGGGTTTAAATTCTTAGAGTAAATCAAGAAAATATTTCATATATAATGGAAAGAACAAACAATGCACCTTAAAGAGTGATTTAAAAACACGTGAGGAAAATCGAAAAAGAATGTAAATGAACAACATGATTGTTTTAGGACTCTAATAAGTAAGCCTTAGTTTTTAGTCAGTTTTATAGAACCATTTTAAGAAAGAATGTATTCACAAAAGAAAGATGATGAAAAGTATAAGGGAAATCAACATGAGAATTTGACCAAGTGGCTCTGCCACAGTTTTATAGAGGGAAAGGCTGAAACTTCCAGAACTCTGTTTTCTAGAGAGAGACCCACTATTTAGGGTAAGAAATAGTATTCCCAGTTTTCATGGCCCAGATGTTAGGTATTTAGGGTCCTTCAATATCCTTTGTTTGGCATCCATGCTAATAAGAGTCCTGAACATTGTTAAATTTATACCATAAATAGTGTTGACGATGATATTTGAGGGATTAGAGAACAAATTTGTTGGGTTTATAAGTCTCCAGAGTAGATATTGTCACTGTTTTCAAGGTTGGTGGCTATGAGGTGGGCCTAACCTAGGCTTGCAAAAGCTCGCTATATAGAAAAACACTGTTGGGCCACACGGTGATTTGTCACACTTTTACTTGATGAAATTTCAACCAGAAGGAACTAGGGCAGATTTTTTTTACCTCTCTCATTAACGATTATATAAGGGATATCCACTACAGGGAAGTTAATTTTCTAAATTACATATATAAGTATTATTAGATGCTAGTCAAAGGTACTTTAGAATACTTAATAAACAGAACAAGTAGAGATACACTGTTTATGGTTTAAAATATTATCAAGAATATAAAAGATTAATTTGGAGTAGCTCTATGGAATTTTTTAAAAGAGCTGAATTCTTCATTTTCATAATAATTTTATGGTAAATATTCTCATTTTCAAAATGAATTTTTCTTCTCAAAGGTATCTCAACTTATACCTAAAGCAGTATCTAAGCTAAATATATTGGGAAATTTGGAGCTAGACTTAAAGATATACTTACAAATTTGAGTGACTGAATAAAACAAAATTGGATTTTTAAAAAAAAAATCTGACTTAATAACTGGACACATAGCACTTTAGCATTCAATGGTATATTTCCTTTAGTTGCATTTTTTTGAAACCTTTTTTTGGGGGGGGGGTTGTTGTTTGTTTGTTTTCTGAGGAAGAGTCTTACTATGTCACTGTTGGTTGAGTGCCATAGTGCCCAGCTCACAGCAACCTCAAACTCTTGGGCTTAAGTGATTCTCTTGCCTCAGCCTCTGAAGCAGCTGGGACTATAGGCACCCACCACAATGCCTGGCTATTTTTTTGTTGCAGTTGTCATTGTGGTTTGGCTGGCCCAGGCCAGGTTCGAACCGCCAGCCTTGATGAATGTGGCTGGCACCCTACCCACTGAGCTACAGGCATCACCCTGAAACCTTATCGGTTTTCACATATTGTTGGAGGTTATAAATAAGGTTGAACTGATGAAATTATGTCTCTTCTATTATACAGTCTTGACTAATATATTTTGCAGAGAATAAAATATATGTCCCTATTTCCTTTGAGAAGTTGCTATGTATATTTGGATCTGCCAGTGGAAGCTGATTTTATATCAATTACCTGACCTGTAAGAGTTTTGGATCAAGGTTTGGCAGCGTGTCATCTGAAGGTAAGGGTTTCTCTCCCTCTGTGTGCAGTTTAGCAGTGCTGCCTCCTGTTGCGTGAGTTTTTCTTGCTGCTTCATTGCCATAGTGGACACCTGAAACACTTCAGACAACATTATCATAAAAACAACATTGTTATAAAAATGAAGAATTCAGCTCTTCTAACAAAAACTTACTTTTTATTATAACAAAATAATCTTTCAACACTGATTAAAGAAACTGCAAAATACTATTTTTGAGACTTGAATTTGCATTATTTTAGGTTTTTGCTAAAATTTACATTGTTCAAAAATCAAAAGCTACAAAGGATGCCGAACAATAAGTCTCTCTGCTGCCCTGTTTCTTTTTATTTCTTTTTATTTTTTATTAAATCATAACTATATACCTTAATGCATTTATGGGGTACAATAAATACCAATATACATTCATGCATTTATGGGATACAATAAATATCAATTTATATACGACTTGGAATGCTTACCTCAAACTGGTTAACACAGCCTTCACCTCACTTACTTAATCATTATGTTAAGACATTTATACTCTACTCTTAATAGATTTGACATGTACCCTTGCAAAATGCACCATAGGTGAGGTCCCACCGATTATCTTCCCTCCACCCAACCTCCCCTTTCCCCTCCTCTCCCCTCCTTCATACTGGGCTATGGTTGTGTTTTATCTTTCATATGAAAGTGTAGGTGATTATATATTGGTTTCATAATAGTACTGAGTACATTGGATACTTTTTCTTCTATTCTTGAGATACTTTACTAAGAAGAAAATGTTCCAGCTCCATCCATGTAAACATAAAAGAGGTAAAGTCTCCATAATTTTTTTAGATTGCATAATATTTCACAGTATACATAAACCACAATTTATTGATCCAACCCATTGGGCTTCTTCCATGAATTGGCAATTATGAATTGGGCTACAATAAACATTCTGGTGCAAATATTTTTTTATAAAGTGATATACCTAGTAGAGAAATTGTAGGATCAAACAGCAGGTCTACTTTTAGTTCCCTAAGTGTTCTCCAAACTGCCCTGTTTCTTTATTCACCCTAATTTTAGTTCCCCAGAGCAGCCAGCTTATCAGTTTCTTTTTTATTCTTTGAGAACTATCTTTTTTTTCAGACAGAGAGTCTCAAGCTGTTGCCCTGGTAGAGTGCTATGGCATCACAGCCTACAGCAACCTCAAACTCTTGGGTTTAAGTGATTCTCCCGCCTCAGCCTCCCAAGTAGCTGGGACAACAGGCACCCGCCACAACACCCAGCTATTTTTTGGTTGTAGTTGTCACTGTTGTTTGCCAGTCCTGGGCCAGGTTCAAACCCTCCAGCTCTGGTGTATGTGGCTGGCACCCTAGCCACTGAGCTACAGGTGCTGAGCCGAGAACTATCTTGAATTTTATAAATGAAGTGAAATTTACAAATGAAAGCTAATGAATATCAAATTTCCTCTCCCACCTTTATATAGGAGGTATCAATATCAATATGTTTATATGCTTTTGTGTCTTTCACCTTATCCCTTAAAATATACTTGGACAGAGTTCCATATCAGCACATTAAACAGCTTTCTCTTTCCATTATTAGTGCGTAGAATTCCCTTCTGTGGAAATATCTTGTTTGACTTTAGTAGTTTTCTACTGCCTTTAGATTATTTGTAATATATTTATATAGGCGAAACGCCTATATGCCTCTGGCCAAAAAAGCCATTTGAGAGAGAGCAGTGAAAAGACTTTGTGCAGGCATATTTGTAAGAAACTGAGGCAGAATCCCATTGGCCAGGTTAGTTACGAGCCTAACATGACCCAGGCTTTGGCTGGAATAGCATTTCTAGACTGTGTTAAGGAATTAAGGTTGACTTTATAAGGCCAATGAAAAAGCTCTTTGGAAAACCATCCAGATACCCAGCAGTAATCTTTCCTGATCTGTGGCAAGTGACGAAGGTCGCTTGCTGACGGGTCCAGGAATGGAAATGTGCGAGGGGACCTCAAGAAGAGGAATTTACCCAGTGCATACAGGTATCTAATGGCACAGATGAAACTTGGGCTCAGGGAAGGCTTTTGAGAAGTCCAGCCTGAGAATTCCTTATAAAAGGCTCCAGGGTGGCACCTGTGGCTCAAGGAATAGGGCGCCAACCCCAGATGCCCAAGGTGGTAGGTTCAAGCCCAGCCCCAGACAAAAACTGCAAAAATAAATAAATAAATAAATAAAAGTCTCCAGCAAAACCCCCCTGACTTAAGGCCTACACGAGGGCAGAGGTTTGCACACAAATTCCTGTATACCCAAGAAGTTTCTTTATGCCTTGCTTAAAGATTCAAAGTAACAGCCTCCAAATGGCAACGTCAGCAAGGTTAGGTATTCAATCTACCCTGTTCCTCCATAGCCTCAGGCTTCATCAGATAAGAACAAAGAAGTAATGGCTAACAACATGTTCTCCATTAAGACTGGGTTATGTTGAAAGGGTGTATGTTGAGTGGATTATCAGATGTTACATGATGTTTAATTGGATCAATGAGGTCATTGCTGTATGTACAAAATTCCCTATATAAGCCAACTGCAAATAAAGAAGCTCGCCATTTTGCTTGAGTGAGCAAATGGTCACCTTTATTTAAAACACAATTTCAATAAGCGTGCTTATTCTCCGCGACATCACTTTTCCACGAGACCCTTATGGCAACATTCTGGCACAGTGAGCAGGGTCTTAGACATAGGCCCTAATGCCAACGTATTTGTTACTATAGAAGGAAATACAGCATAAGGAACTTTAGTCATACAGAATTTCATACATGTGCAAGTTTATTTTTAAGATAATTTGCTAGGTTAAAGTCCGTGTGCATTTAATTTGTATTAGGTAGGGTGGCGCCAGTAGCTCAGTGGGTAGGGCATTGGCCACATACACTAAGGATGGTAAGCTTGAACCCAGCCCGGGGCAGCTAAAACAACTGCAGCAAAAATATAGCAAGGCATTGTGGTGGGTGCCCATAGTCCCAGCTACTTGGGAGGCTGAGGCAAGAGAATCACTTAAGCCCTGGAGTCTGAGGTTGCTGTGAGCTGTGACACTACGGCACTCTACCCAGGGCAACAGCTTGAGACTCTGTCTCAAAAAAACAAAAATAAATTGTGATGGATGTGTTAGTTCAATGTAAACATTTCACACTGTATATCAAAGCCGTACCCTGAACCCCATAAATGCATCAATGTACAAATTTATGAGTTAATAAAAAATATTTAATTGAAAAAAACAAAAATAAATAAATAAATTATATTAGGTATCTCCAAAAATGCTGTTGCACATAGTATCTCAATATCATATGATTTGCAGGTTTTTTTTAATGTCTGAGGCTGAAACTCTTTTCATATACATAAATAAATAAAATGTAGATGTGTTGCCTTCTCTATGAAGTATATGAAGTATATTTTTTGTAATTTTTTTCCCATTTCTGGTCTTTTTCTTACTGTCTTACTGTGCTGTTAGAAGTAATTTCCCAGGACTGGAATCAGTCTGAATAGTGTTTCTGGAGTTCCCACATGGCCCTGACTTCTGAACAAGGCATGAAACACACTGATTCACAGTATAGCTTTGTGATCATGTGTCTGAGAATTTGGGGGCCCGATTATACTAGCTTGTCAGCCTTGTTTATTGATGACAATATGACTGATGCTTTGCCTTGGTTATGAAACCCTGAGGAACTGCTTCTGCTGAGCTCGGTTCCCTATCAGAAATATGTCTATGTGATCAGCAAAATGTATAAATCCTCAACTGAGAATCTATTTTGGGATCTTTGATACTAAGATATCCTCTGTGCATGTCAGTGGTTCCTAATCCAAGAGAAAAACTGTGCCCTGATAGGACCTGTACAGAGCAAGGGAAAGGTGCTTCCAGCTGATCTGTCCTTGTCACTCCTTGTGGGACAGACTTTGCTGGTACATCTTCACTTTGATGCTATTGTTAAAATGTATCTTCGTCTTATAATAAACTGTAGATTTGTAAGCAATGCCATTTTGGGTTCCATTAGTCTTTTTTAGCAACTATCTGATGTTGTTAGTGCACTTACATATTGGTGATGTTAGATTTTTTTTTTTTTTTTTGTAG